TTCTGATAAGTTAAACCTTGTATCATATATATTTCTTTTTATAACAATAAATACATTTTCTTTGTGATAGTAAATCATTTTTATTGTGGAATGTCCCTGTCGCTTAATTCTATTTCAATCAATTTACAAGCAAACACAAAGATTATACAACTGATAGTTTTTTTCTCCTTTATTTATTGATGGGCTAAATTTGAAATTTTGAAGGATTAATTACTCCTACTTAGATAATGTAACATGAAAATGAACAATTTGAGCAACTTTTATAAATATGTTTACGGAATGAAAGACATTTTCAATCGTAGAGATAAGAAAGAAATGTACGTTACCTATATTCTTCCATTAAGAATATATATAAAGTAGAAAATATGAGACGACTCTGAATAAGAAACCCCTTGTATCCTGTAAACTGGCAAAGACGTTTTGTTCAACATAATTAAAAATTATTTTTTACATGAAAAGTGATCATTTGAAATGTACGTTACTGAAATGTACGTTACCATGAAATTCGAATTAAGTGAATCTCGCACGAATTTTCATGTATTCTCATACTTTCACACACTCGAATGTGTACACAAAGGAAAGTTTCAAAGGTTGGAGGTCGGCTAAATCCCAAAATAAATGAAAAGAAACGTTTCTGCTTAGGAAAAGAAATATATTAAGGTCAATTATATGTAATATGATTTTGATACCCTGTATCTTTTTCTGAATACGAAACCTGTATGATGCATTTCTTATGATATGCAAGTTCAAATAGTATCAATATATTGCGTGTCTAACGTACGCTTGTGGAAGAGAATTGATTTTTATATTTGAAATGTACGTTACGTATGGTAACGTACATTTTACGTATTTCTAACTGACATTTTTTTAAAATTTAGTCAATGAATTGCGTTTACATGAGCGAAACAAAATTATCGTTACAATCCATTTGACAACTGGCCACATAAATCCATCTAAATGCACCCCCAATCCTCGTAAATGTTTTAGACTGCTACCACATGCTAGAAAATTTATTTCTAAGTGTTTTAAATTCATCTTTGGCAACCTTTTTGCAGTTTGTTTACTTTTAATATGCGACTTTTCGTCAATATTCATTTAATTGTTGTTGATAATTTAAAACAAGGTATGCATAGGCTTATAATTGGTAAAAAAAAAAAAGAAAGAAAAGAAAAAGAAACAAAACAAATAAACCCAGAACACAAGACGGTCACGTACATTTCAAGTACTGAAAGGCACACAATACTCACTTTTGTTTGAATCATTGCATTTTGGGTTATATTTTTCCAGATCTGCTGAAAAGCACGTATGTTTGTGTTTTGAAAAACGATGTTGCAACAAACTAAATGAAATTGTTAACAAACTGTCAATGGATATATTCGGAATAGATTTATGTTAAGTTTCAATGGCCAAACACGAGCATTTGTTAGATCATAGCAAAATACGTCTGACTCTTAATTTTTTTTGTCTGTACCCTTGCACACAGGTAGAAGTAACTAGGCTACGACCGGTGTCAATTTCAGCGAAACAGCACAAAAGAATGGTAATGAACTGAGGTGGAGGGGATTCCTCAATAATATGTGAAATGAACGTTACCGAAGTGACGTGACACTCATGTAGTTGATGACAAATAACCTCGTTTGTTACATTATGATTTCTTATATTACTGCCTTAAAACGCTTCATTGAAATGATTTTTATGTCAATAATTGCTTTTTTTTTCAATATTTACTTACATATTATTACAAGCTTGAAATGTACGTTACCTACTCATATTCTGAGGCAATCGTGTCTTTATAGTGGTGATTGTGACATATAACACAATGTGATAACATAGAGAATCTTTTTGGAATAAACTGAAACAAAACGATGAATTTTTAGATGAATTTTAAGCTTTTTATTAAACAGAAATATATCTTGAAATGTACGTTACATTTACGTAGTTTTCTAAATCGGCATGGATATATGTTAAAAAAGACAGTAACTACAAAATAGAATTTTACTACATGTACATGTTAGGTTCCAGTATCTATAGAAAATGACAAGATTCCAAACTGATCGCTCTAAAGAAAACAGAGAGAGGAATTGAAAGCATATATTTAAAAAATGTTTTTATACATCTGGATCAAAAAGTAACCTTTGTTTTTTGAAAGGAAAAATCAAACGCACGTTCGAATGCCGAGAAAATATGTTGCTGACAGAGTTGGTAGGATGTGCTGGTGTTAAGATGAGATATTCCAATTGTGATTTGAATGACTACATTTTTTTTTACATATGTTTTTGGACATTGAAGAAAGAGTAACGTACATTTCAAGCTACATTTTTGAATAAAATCACCCTCTACTTTATCGTCTTGTCATTATTCCATGTATTATAATTTGATGAAAAAAAATCTGGAAACAAAATCTTCAGATACTTTCTTTCAAAGGTAATTGATAGAAAAATTGTTATCTTGAACTTCATTTTTTAAAAAATCAGAGAGGCATTTGTGCCCTTATATTGAGAATGGGTGTTATACCGGTTTTAAAATCATTTCTCTTTCTGAAGAACTAGCTGAGCCATAATTTACTATGATACCATATTTAAGCATTGAATTCATATTTTTGGCTGTCTTCGGTCCTATAACACACCTGGCAAATTGAATACCGTGCGTTAGCGCGGTATGATAAATTTGTCGACACGGCCAGGTGTGTTATAGGACCGAAGACAGCCAAAAATATGAATTCAATGCTTATATTTACATTCTCTAATTTTCCTTCTTCATAATTGCTTATTTCGTTAACATTTAATGTGTATTTAGCGCCCTTCAAAACTATCGTGGTTAATAGACGTAAGAGCCGTTTGTGACGTCAGATGACGTTAAGTGACGTTGCGAAGTTAAATTACGCAAACAAACATTGCGATTAAAAAAGTGACAAATTAATTCTTAACGCAGATTACGTTATTTTCTACATTAATTTTTCAGGGCTGTAGTTTTTCATTAAATTGAAATAAAACATTTTACATTTTGGTGTTTCTAGAGTATTGAAAATGCATATAGTACCTACTGTGTATTCTAATGCGCGGTGACAAGGTTTCGCGTGTGTTATAGAAATTTGAGCGTCGTGGATTTCTAATGGATTTGATAAGGAAAATTATACTGAATGTAAATATTTGCTAGTAGTCAGTTCTTGTTTTAGTTTTCATTCCTGAATTCTATACTCATCAAATTTCATTGGCCAGTAAATCTCCCAATAAATCTTGATTAAAAACATATGCCACATACTCCCCAGCTTTAAAGAGCTGCAACTTTGATGTCGGATTTTTTTAATTTTGTTGCAAAACTGTAAAAACTATTTCAATGACGAAAAAAATCAATTTAATAATCTTCTTTTGTTCATATTTGCGATGGAAGAACTATTTATATGCTTCGATTGAATATAATATGATTAAACATGGCTTTTCTGTTCTTGGGAAAAAAATTTGATCTTTGATCCCCAATTGTGGCCCACCCTACCCAACCCTTACTTCCAGCTCATGACTTGAACAAACTTGAATCAACACTACGTGAGGATGCTGACATAAAGATATGACCGATAAATGCTTTGCGGTTCTTAAAAAGAAGAGTTTCTTTTTTTAATTTCAGATGTATTCATTCCTATTCCACAGTGGCCCCGCCCTACCCCTGAGAAGATTTTATAAGATCTTTCCTGGCCCATTTAGTTCTGGAGAAGATTTTCAAAGATTTTTTCGTATATATTCCCATGTAAATATTTGATCGTCAGATGTGGTCCCGCCCTACCCCCGGGGGTCATGATTTGAACAAAATTGAATCTACACTATCTGAGGATGCTTCCATATTAGTATCATTTTTATTGGCCCAGTGGTTCTGGAGAAGAAGATTTAAAAAAAATTCTTATCTACTACTATGTTAAACTCGATCAGCCATTGTGGCCTCGCCCTACCCCCGGGAGTCATGAATTGTACAGAATTGAATCTACACTACCTGAGGATGCTTCTACACCAGTTTCATCTTTCCTGGCCCAGTGGTTGTGGAGAAGATTTTTAAAGATTTTTTACTATTTATTCCAATGTAAACCTGTGATCGTCAGTTGTGGCTCCGCCCTACCCCTGGGGTTCATGATTTGAACAAAATTGAATCTACACTACCTAAGGATGCTTTCACATGAGTTTCATTTTTCCTGGTCCAATGGTTCTGGAGAAGAAGATTTTTAAAAGATGCCATTAGGCCAAAGTTTTCATTAATTCATCATCAACTCCCCTTGGAAGAGGGCTTGGCCCTTCGTTTGAACAAATATGAACCCCCTTCACCCAAGGATACTTTGTTGCGAGTTTAGTTGAAATTGGCCCAGTGGTTCATGAGAAGATGAAAATGTGAAAAGTTTACAACTACGACGACAAAGACAGACAACGGAAAAATTTTGATCAGAAAAGCTCACTTAAGCCCTCGACTCAGGTGATCCAATAAAAATACTGAAAATGGTCCATGGTTATTATCCTTTTTTTTACATTTTATATAAAAAGATAGATATATATATAGATATTTTTTAAAATACTGGTTAAAGAAAATATACAGAATATAAAGGCAAAATGTAAATTACAAGGAAAAATGCTTTGGGTAAGCTTCTTTGGAAGCTAACTTTTCTTTCAGAATGTCGTTACACTTTTAAGAACATATACATCATAGTTGGAACTTTTTTGTGTTTTATTCTCTGGAGTTGAAGAGTTCCAGAACTTAATGGAACTAAATGCTTCATTTAAATATCTATACATACTGTCATACACTTCTTCTAAAACAAATCATATAGGATATATGTGGAGTACTTTTTGTGTATTTTTCTTATAAAGCATACGAGCATTTTCATGGTTATTGATATCTTTTCAAAACCCCTGGTAGTGCATGCTTAATTTTTGTCTCCGATCTTTGATGGTACAATAATCTTTAAAAATATTTTGACCTTAAATATATACATGTATACGCTATATAAAACGAATCCCTGGAGTCGTCAAGCGCACACCATGTTGATCTTCAGTCGTGGATAATTGATCTTGCATATCTGTCTGAACTCTTAGTGAAATCAATACTTCTGCAACGTGTCCCCGCTTTTATTTTTAGTTCTAAGAATAATTAAATTTTTAAAAATAGTAATAAATTTTGCCAAAATACTGTAATTTATATTCGAGAAGAGTGAAGAAATACCCTGATTATTTTTTAAATACATTATGTAAATATTTTAAAAACAAAAATATATACATTTAGTGTCATACTTTTAGTTTAGTGACATTTTGAAACGAATTATCCCTGAATTAAAAATCTTAGAGAAAATTGTACTCTATACTATTATTGAAACTTTTTAGAACTGAAGTGAATCACAAAACGAATTACTTACCAGAAAGTTTATCTGAGGTTTTGTGGATCGTTTGAGGTGAACATGGTGAAATCCTATCCTATGATATATAATGATTGATTCATTAAAGTCATGTTTGGCACTCATATTATCAAACACACACTAAAATGTTCTATAGACATAATTCAGGAATAATACATATCTTGTTTTGAAAATAAATTATATTAACTTTAACATTAAATTGCTTTCTTTTGCTTGTAAAGTTGCAGCTATTGCAGAAAAATGCGTAACCCGTGTTTTTTTTTCCTGCAATAGCTGCAACATCTAAAATTCCTTTACTTACAGCCTGAAAAATTTTATTTATATTTGTATAAAGTAATATTAAAATTTATTTTGTTGATATGTAAATCATGTATACATTTTACATGTTGATATGTATATCATTAAACGTTTCAATGATTGAAGAGTCGTTGTTCAAAAAATCTGTAGAAGTGATATGCTCTTACTGAGAAAAAGGGGATGATCTAAATAGTCAAACGATTTCTTTGGTTGTTAGTACGGGAATGAATGCCGCAGCTGTTGCAGAAAAAACGTGTAATTTTTTTTCTCCAATAGCTGCGACGTTCGTTTCCGAAGAAAGAAAAGCATTTATTGTTTATTTTTACATTTGTATCAAAAATCATTAAAATTAAATTAAATTTGTTAAATATTGTATTTAAAATGATTATGTCATTGTATGCATAACTGATGGAACAGCATCTACGCACGTGGCTTGTTTAGTATCGTTTATGCACAGATTGATAGCAATGGTCTTCATAAGAAATAAAGGAAAAATATTCAGTGAATGTAAATATTTATAAGTGGATGTGAATTTAAGCTTATTTTGCATTCAAAATTTCATTTTTTCACCCTGGAATATCTATGGAGTTTTTCGTTTGACCGATTATAATAAGATGTGACCATAAAACCTCAGACCTCAAAACAACATAAGTGAAATCAGAAGCCATTAACAGGTCGAAGAGAATACTCGAAATCGGGTATTATCCCTGAAATCGCGTATAATACCCGATATTAGGGTATCGTTGAATCCGCGAAATCGGGTATAGGAGGTTTAATCACCTAATAAAACTTAAACAATGGGATGGCGCATGTTGCCGAGTTAACTTTCATCTAGATACACATGTTTTCTAAAGGTATCACTAGCCAAGTAAGAATTTGGGCGTCAAGATTAATGCGTTCGGGACAACAGATACCCGTGGAGCTCAGTACATTTCATGATCTGCACACAAAAAGGCGTTCGATTTGCTTTATATTTTTCCTTATGTTGAAAGTATATGCATCTTCCTAATGTTCATTTCCAACACAACAGAATTGCAAAGTATAAGAATTCGGGAATTTATAATAATTCCACATCAACACGACAAACATGAACAATCTGTAAATAAATCAAATTATACGGAAACACATTTCACACACAAGATATGATGCCATGTATAAACAAGGGATTGTCTATCGTATCTAATTATGCGTCATTAATTACTTTCACATTCATCTTGTGCATAAAATCAAATTTATTTATGAATGTATAAATAATCTAATGATAAAAATGTCTAAAATTTCGGCTTAAAGAACCCTCTTTCTCTTTTTTTGAAAATCTTTTCTTTTTTATTTATCATTCAAACATATTTGCAGAATATGTCTTCAACATTTTAGCAGAGACAGTGACAGTTTCAGAACATAACTGTTGATCGTTTAATTTCGCTAAGTCATCAATATTTTAACATTTCTTGGCGACTTCAAAGGGGGGGGGGGGGGGGCTAAAGGCTTCTTTACCACCACTGACAAAACAACCACGACTGTGTTCTAAATGTGTCCAAGAGACCTCTCTTTGAATGTCACGGTCGTTTAAACTCGGTCATATATTTTTAATCGTAGGGAAGATTTATTCAGCATATAAAAATCATATACATTGTAGGTAAACAAAAAGCAACCTGTTATTTTCTAACACAAAATGAGACTGCAAGTAACTAGAATTCATGTTTATTTTTTAAACACATTTTTTCATTACAGATGAGTATTAGGAAAAGTTATTGCCATGAATAATAAGTACCACAGATAAAATAACTAAAAGAAAACTGTGACATATTGTCTAGAACCAATAAGATAGTGCGTTGTATTAGCATATTATAATGAGGAATAAGATAGCGATATAAAAAAAAAATATAGAAGGTAAAGAGGTAAAATTTACCCTGTCTATCACATATTATTATGCTTCCTGTCAGTTTGTCTCTATATAACCCATACCCTACTATTCTCGCATAGTGGTCTAAGGATTTATAGAGCGTAAACACACTATGCCGAAATAGTGCACGGCTTTCTTTGCTGAAGAAAATTCTTCATTGCACACGCCGGGGATCGAACTCACGACCATGAGATTGTCAGTTCGATGCCTTATCGATTACGCCACAGAGACGATCACTGACTGGTAGAATTTTATTATATATATAATCTTAATTTATACAATTGACACAAGAAGGAGAAAATAGACAAATATTATTTGAAAACAGTTATATTATTCTAAGGAACCTTAGATTAATGTGTACAACAAAGATTCAAACTAATTACATACAGATCGTTAGATGAACTGATTTCATAGGGTCATTAAAACGCTTTTTTATATGACGCTTGATTGAAGGATGTAAAAGAAAATTATCAATGAGAATCGACGTCTGCAAACAAAAAGTCATTTACTAACAAAACAGAAAATAAAGATGAGTTGCTTTGGGACAGAAAATCCCGACCTATTTAGAGAAAATACTAGTAACCAAAATAACTAAGCATGCAACCAATTTTAGCATGAAGATTTTGAATGAGTTCTTGCAAGTGCGCTGTGTTAGCACCGATATTTTCAGGAAAAAGTCAAATGGATTGCCACATAAATAATTACAACAGTCAGCATAATAATAACAATAGTGTTGCATTATGCATGTACTATGCCTAAATAGTAAGCAGGGTTTGACAAATAGTGCACTCGCCTCCGGCTCGTGCACCATGTGTCAAACCCTGCCTACTATTTAGGCATAGTACAAGCATAATTCAACACAATTATATAAGTATAATAAAGAAAGGAAGTGGCTACGATTTTTATGAAATTTTAATGTCCGATGAGGAATTATATTCCCAAAAAGTAAGACAAGAGTTTCCAAGGCAATTGAACACTCCATTATTTCAGTTTTTTCATTAACATGTTCATAAACGTAAAAACTATAAGAAATGTGAAAACTTGACTTTTATTTATACCCCCCCCCCCAAAAAAAAAAAAAAAAACAGGAAAATCCTGTTCATATGACTTCTCGCTCTCAATTTTCACACAAATGCATATAATAAAGGTAAAATAGCATATCTTGTATCGATTAAAATGCAACCAAAAAATTAACGGTGTCTTTGAATAAAAATTTCATGCTAAATTTACTTTAAAAAAGACACTCACCTTTAATTAGCTATTTTCAAACTGTTTTCCCGTGGATATTTATTTAATCTTATTTCATTTTCTTCTTTATAATAACGTTGGTATTCTATTATGGCAGAGATATACAATTATGACTCGCTTCTACTGTACTTTCTAACTGTTAGGAATAATTTATATTTCACGTGAAAGGGACGCCATACATTTTTCAGTAAAAATACATAACACGGCGTTAGTCGTTTAATTTCTTTAAAATTTCACGTTTTAGGAATAGTGCACAAATTAGAAAATTAAGTATATGGAATACTTTAATGGTAAATAAAGACAAACGAAGTGTAGTTATTTGTTTTTAGAAATTATATTGAAAAATAATAACGCCATTGTGTCCTCTTTGTTACCCCAGCAGTGTTTGTCGTGTGATTTTAAACTTATTTGACAACCGTATGAATTAGGTTTAATAAAAATAAATCCACAAGATACGGATGTACAAGTAACAGTTACTAGCATAATGCGCCATTGCTTTATTCTTTAGTTTTTATAGAAAGTTGAACGGAATACCCGATTTCGCGGATTCAACGATACCCTAATATCTAGTATTATACGCGATTTCACGGATAATACCCGATTTCGAGTATTCTCTCCGACCTGATTAAGGCGTGATCACCTGTTGATCGGTCATACCTACCCCTTATAACGATCGGACAAAAAATTATCCGTTGTAGAGTTTACGAAATATCGACTTTAAGGTACGTATGTCACTCGTCACCTTCTTAGAAAAGTTAATGCAGAACCCCTTACCTCAAAATTACTTATTATAAATTGATTTAATTTTTATAACAAATTTAAAACAATGTCAAACAATGTCAATTGTTCAACACTCAATGAAAAAGAACTGCTCAAAAACTCATTCAGAAGCAAGATTTATAAGGGATTATTTCTTATGGCGGGAGGATATTTAGCAGAAAATTCTGCAAATCTGCACATTTATTAAAGTGAAGGTATTTCACTTGTGAACTTTGCTATATCAAGGATTTTTTTAAGAATTATATTTTGGATAAGAACTCATATAGTAAGACGGAAAAACGCAGAGAAAATAGGGGGTCAGTGTGCAGCTAACTTAGCTACGATACAATGAACTTGATCTTTTTGCACTTAAATTTTAACTTTTTTATTAATCACTATAACCTTCATCATATTCTATCAGATGTAACATTTGTAACAATAAGTTACACACCTTTAACGAGATTGCTGATATCTTTGTCTCATCAACTTATTTGTCAATAGCTTGCCTCGACTTAATAATTTGTGCGTATGACATATTCTTGTGTTTCGAACCAGCTTGTAGAAATGTATTTCATATATATAATTTATGTATATAAAGTTTGTTTTATTGCTGCATAGATAATTTGAGAAAGTAGATGATAAGAGAGTTGAATTCATCGAAACCTTTACAAATTTTGTTGCTGGTTTGCCATTTTGAAGGATTTGCTCTGGGAAATTTCAAATAAGTGTCAGAGCAAAAAGTAAACAAAAGGTAATGTGAGCAATGAGCTCACTAAATGATACCCCCGCCTCCCATAATGTCCATGTGTTTCTATATATTGTTTGACGGTAATGTGTAAAGAGGAATAACTCGTCCTATCAAATGTTATCCAGAAGCTTCTATATGTGACGTCATAGATAAACATATCATAGAAATACGTGTCAAAGTGCGTTGATCCCAAATTTAACGCACAATTTGAAAACAATTTTCAAAGTGCGTTGATTTTGTTCTAATTTTAACGCACTTTGAAAAAAAAATTTCAAAGTGCGTAATTTATTCAAAGTGCGTTGCCACACACCGCCTATTTATACCCCCCCCCCCCCCCCTCTGCTTGAAAAACGGGAGGGTATATAGTAATCGGGATTTCCGTCCGTCCGTCCGTCCGTCTGTTACGCTTTATCTCTTAGCCGCAACTCCTCATATACTACTAAGTGAAATTTAATGAAACTTTCACAGAAACTTTATTACATATTGCCATTGTGCACTTCCTATTTTACTTTTTTATTCGACACGTATTTTAGGTTTTCCATAGCAAAAGATGGACATTGCCATTATATGTTTACGTATGACGTCACATTTAGAAGCTTCTGGATAACATTTGATAGGACAAGTTATTCTTCTTTACACATTGCCGTAAAACAATGTATAGCAACACATGGACATTATGGGAGGCGGGGGTATCATTTCGTGAGCTCATTGCTCACAGTACCTCTACTTTATATTATATTTTTAAAAAATAGCAGTGTCCATACATTTATATGAGAAACCCAAAATACGTGTCGGATCAAAAGATGTAATAAGAGTTAACAATGACACTATATAACATAGACTCTGTGAAAGTCATTAAATTTCACTCAGTGGTATAAGAGGAGCTGCGGAAAAGACATACTAAATAGACGGACTGACGGGCATCTCGATCACTATATCCTCCCATTTTTAAGTGAAAGTAAGCACATCTTAATCATTACCGGTATATGAATATGTACGTACAAAACGATGGAAATCATATCCCTTGTGGACATCGCAATACTCTCTTCTCTGTAAAAGAATAAAGAAAGAAATATAATACTAAAAACAAGAGGCCCATGGGCCACATCGCCCACCCGAGAAGCTTTGACCATGCCGATCTTTACCTTATATAACCTATTGTGGCCCCGCCCTACCCCTGGGGTCATGATTTGAACAATTTAAAATCTACACTACCAGGGATGCTTTCACATAAGTTTCACCTTTTCTGAACCTTTGGTTCTTGAGAAGAAAATTTCAAAAAAATTCCTTTTTATTTCAATGTTAAACTTGGATTCCCTATCGTGGCTCCTCCCTTACCTCGGAAGTCATGATTTGAACTATTTAGAATCCACACTACATGAGGATGCTTCCATATAAGCTTCAGCTTTTCTGGCCCAGTGGTTCTTGAGAAGAAGACTCAAAAAACGGTGTTTCCTATATACATGCATTTCATTGTCAAATTTGGATTCCATATTGTGGCCCCACCCTACATGTACCTCCTGGGTCCAGGATTTAAACAATTTAGACTCCTCAATATCTCAGGATGCTTTCACATAAGTTTCAGCTTTTCTGAACCTTTGGTTTTTGAGAAGAAGATTTTTAAAGATTTTTTATATATATTTCAAGGTAAAACTTTTGATTCCCTATTGTAGAACGTTCTACCCCGGGGTCAAAATGTGAACAATTTAGAATCTACCCTACCTCAGGAAGATTCCAAATAAGTTTTAGTTTTTCTGGCCCAGTGGTTCTTGAGAAGATTTTTTTAATGACCCCACCCTACTTTTGTCTTTTCTTGATTTTATTTTAAGCATTTAAACCCCCCTTCCCTCAAGGTTACTTTGTAACAAGTTTGGTAAAAATTGGTTCATAGGTTCTTGAGAAAAAATCGAAAATGTGGAAAGTTTACAGACGGACAAACTGACAAACGGACGGACGGATGAGGGACAAAATGTTTTCAGAAAATTTCACTTGAGCCATCGGCTTAGGTGAGGTAAAAATAGCACACTGAAAACAGAAAAATCATTGTTGCGGTATTTACATATATCATAAAAGCAACTTATATTTATAATAATTATAGTTACCACAAACATCATTTATTCTTATCTAGATTTAAACATTTTGTTAACATTTAATCAGTTTTTTATCAATTAAATAGTAGATAACAGAACAACCAAAAACTAAAAACTTACTGAGATGGAATCGAATAGAGAAATGATACTCTTTGCTTGTAATTTAGATTGAGATCCTGAATAAAAACAAGAGGCCCATAAGCCATATCGCTCACATGAGTAACATTTTTAAAGAAAGGATACGTACTGGGCAATACACTGTATTAATTGATGTGATATAATGTACATTCCATCCACAATATCGCATGTTGTGTTATACTCAGTGATTTATCGGTGTTAAGTGAATTTGAATCTGATCATTTGGGATCAAAATGGCGTTTTTACGGAAGTACGCCATGTTGTGACGTTGTAGAGAGCCCTCTTAAGAATCTACATTATACCAGGATTCTTCCACATAAGTTAAAGTATTTTTTTGTTCCTGTGGTTTTGAGAAGATTTTTAATGTTTTTTTTCCTATGTTATTCAATGTAAAACTTGGATTCCCTATTGTGGCCCTACCTTACCTCCGGAGGTTATGATTTAAACAATTCATAATCTACGCTACGCAAGGATACTTTCACATAAGTTTCAGCTTTTCTTTTCCACTGGTTCTTAAGAAGAATATTTTTATATTTTTTCCCAATATATTTCAATGTAAAACCTGAAATCACTTATGTGGCCCTACCCCTAGGGGTCAAGTTTTGAACAATTGAGAATCTACATTATCCCAGGTTTTGAGGAGATTTTTAAAGGTTTTTTCCTATATACTTCAATGTTAAACTTGGATTCCCTATTGTGGCCCCATCTTACCCCCGAAAGTTATGATTTGAACAATTTGAATCTTTTCTTTTCCATTGGTTCTTGAGAAGAAGACCTTTATATTTTTTCCAATATATTTCTATGTAAAACTTGGATTCCCTATTGTCGCCCTATCCCAGGGGTCATGATTTGAAGAATTTAGAATCTACACTATCCCTGGATGCTTCCACATAAGTTTCAGATTTTCTGGCCTAGTGGTTCTTAAGAAGAAGATTTTTCCTATATTTAATGTAAAACTTGGATTCCCCATTGTGGACCCGTCCAACACCCGGTTGTCAGGATTTGTACAATGTAGAATCTACACGATCCAAGGATGCTTCCACATAAGTTTCAGCTTTTCTGGCCCAGCGGTTCTTGAGAAGATTTAAAATTTTTTTAGAATTTCCAAATATTTCTATGTAAAGATTGAAATCCCTATTGTGGCCCTGTCCTACCTCCAGTGGGCATGATTTGAACAATTTAGAATCTACACTTTCAGTTTTTCTGGCCCAGCGGTTCTTAAGAAGATTTTTTCGAAGTGTTTTTCTATAAACTTCAAAGCAGAACTTGGATTCCCTTTTGTGGCCCTGCCCTACTCCCAGGGGTCACAATAGGGAACAATGAACAAAGAAGGATATGGAGATAGCAAACAATATTCAATATCAAAGTCCATAAAACTATTAATACAATATAGGAGCAGAGCAAACACGAACCTCTCAAACATCAGAGGTGGGATCAGGTGCCATGAAGGAGTGAGTATCCCCTGCTGACCGGTCACACCCGCCGTATGCTCCCTGTCATGATCGGGAAATAACGGAAAAATCCGTCGTCAATTCAGAGAATAAATAATGAACTAATAATGAGTATGAAAAACATCCGTCAGCATTTGACTCAATGATAAATTGTATTTGCTTACAAGGTCATTGTATCGACCAAAGAACTTACGAAATGCATGACTTTAAACGAGACTGCTGATATTCTTGTTTCATCAACTTGTTTCTCAATAATTTGACTACCGGTAGTTTTTGAAATTGTTCATATGTAGAGCATGCTTTTGCATATCGAATCAACTGAGAAATATAAACTCCGTATGCAGGTGATGGAGGTATATTGCTACATAAGCAAGGGGGGTTGACGATAGAAAAGGTAGAGTCATCACGTCTATCATAGAGCTTGGTTGTTAGATAATATAACCATTAACGTCTTTTTCAAGTAAAATATATATCCAAGTATGAAACAGATGTATCAGACTCTTTTATCTCAAACTCACCAGGATACATCGTACAGGTATCATAGGAATGGAAATTACCATTGTTAATTGACAGTACGTCGTCGATATATCAAATGTTGAGTTGAAGGTCACATAAAGTGCTTTCTTCTTTTCACGCATAAGATTTTGCATAAATTCTGCTTCATGTGAATACAAAAATAGGTCTGCTTATAATGGAGCACAATTGGTTCCCACTGGATTCCAGTAGATTGCTGGAAGACCTGGTCTTTAGAATTTAGAATCTAGTTTCAGCTTTTCTGGCCCAGTGGTTCTTGAGAAAAAGATTTTTAATGACCCCACCCTATTTTTATATCTTCTTGATTATCTCCCCTAGGAAGGGGATTTAGCCCTTTATTTTAACAATTTAAACTCCCCTTAACCCAAGGATGTTTTGTACCAAGTTAAGTTAAAATTGGTCCAGTCGTTTTTGAGAAGAAGTAGAAAATGTGAAAAGTTTAAAGACGGACGGACAGACGGATGAACGACGGACAACTGGTGATCAGAAAAGCTCACTTTAGCTTTCAGCTCAAGTGAGTCTGATTGTTTGATTTTAATGTTCCTCTCGAGAATTTTTCACTCATATGGATAAGAGGAAGGATCGGATGTCATGGAAGAGCAATCATATTTACTTAATTTATATAAGCATATGAAGATGGGGATAAACTCTATGCTTAAAACTGATTAATTTTTTTATTGCCTTGCAATCAGAACTACTTGTATTCCGCTTATGCTCTAAAATCAGCTTTAGAATAGAAAAAATTAAATAAATTCATGAAGATAAGGAACAGTAATCAAATGTCCATCAATACAAATCAAGTGGAGAGTAGAGCAATCACGGACCTCTAAAAATACCGGTGGTGGGATGAGGTTCTATGAATCCAAAACTTATTTCCTCAGCAGTAAAATAGTGTTTTTATCTAAAATGTGGCGTACATGTATGCTACACCTTTGCTTTATCCTCGAATATGTTAAGAAATAACAATAACATTTTCGGTTTCGAACACAAACCTTCGCTTCAAAATATAGATTTGATTTATCAAAATATATCTATTTATAAAAAAAATCTTACGCTTTAAATTGAAAACAATGAGTAAAAATAATTGAAGGGAAAGACTTTTTAAACGTAAATAACAATTATACACAAAAGAAAATCACACAATGTTGATATCCTCTATATTAGTATATCGCATGTATTTTTAATGTTTGTTTAATTTAATCTATAAATCAGATTTCGTTGGGGACTAAGGAACTAAGTTTAACAACAAAGATAATGCCTAAAACATATCACATACCTCAATAGCGTCTATGGACGATAGAGACATTTTTAATTGTAGGGTAATCACAAAGAAAATTATCATATAGAGATATGTAGATGTGTGCAATGTTAGAACAAAACGTACAATTTGTATATCTGTATTTTAAAACACAGACATATTTTTCATTAAGCATTGCTATTACGTTTTTTCTTGTTAGCTAAAAGAGCCGAAGTCCATTACCTTGAAACCGTGCTTCTTTTTCGACTTCTTCATGTTTCTGCAATGGCCAGTGATCTTCATGAACCTATACATTGAATTAAATTTCTACGGTGAGAAACGTTAATTTTTTTTTTCCAATTGAGGCAAACAGAAAAGCAGTTTGGCAAATATAATGGCACATATACAACAAAATGGAAAGATAAATTTTTGTATTTATTACTACATGTACTAGAGAGTATGTGAGCTGATCTAACATCTAATTTTAATTATATTGGAATTTTAAAAATCTAATTAAAATTATACGTTAGATTCGCTCGCATACTCTCTACACTAACATCTAACAACATCCCATAGAGGGTCACGTCAGAGGTCAAATTCTATCAACCAATCAAATCGTAGCCTGCAAAATAATTGTATATTTGTTGACGTACTTGAAACAATTAATTCTAGAGTTGTTCCGAATTTGACCTCTGACGTGACCCTCTATGTACGTTGTAAGATGTAAGTGTATTGAGTATCGGAGCGGATCTAACATTTAATTTTAATTAGAATGAAATTTAAAATAATACATTAGATTTAAATACAGTAACTAATTTATTTAATTCATATAAATTTTAGTTTAATTGATCTAAAGACTATCTGTTTATGAAAACTGTTTGATTGATGTAGTAGGTACTCTGTTTAACTTCATTATTAATACTAACCGGATGAGACCTCGAAGATGGTACACTGCTTTTCACGGAAACTCCTGATAAAAATTAGTTAATATAGTATGTAGAACAAATGTATGCATTTATATAATTGCTAGAATATTTCACAGTCCTCTTCTCAATCAGACAAAGAAAACTTTTAAAAGAAGAACGTAAAAACAAAAGAAATAGAGAAACAAAAAAAACTCAAAGTACAATTTATATAAATCTGTTTATCAGTTATTTGCTTTCACGTACCATCATACGTATGAACATCTCTGCTATGTAGTGGATCCGAACGCGTTTGATAGAGTTCAGATTCTACAATGAACAAATAAAAATGTAAAGTCCATAACGAAGATGATACTGTAAAATCAATATTTTCATGGGGTTAAATTTTCGTGGTTTGAGTAAAAACTCTTGGTTTATGGGGATTTGGTTTTGTGAACTTTTCAATAGTTATGTATGTAACTTTTTACATTTCGTAGTGGACATAAATTCGTGGGACTCTTCATACCTCGAAAACAACGATAATTAGACCCCAACGAAAATTTGTGATTTCACAATATTAAGTTACTTTATTTATTTAGAAAGAATTTCTTCTCAAGACATACCTTGATCTATTCCTCGAAAATGAAATTTCTTCTTTTCATCCTGCAGAATAAATAAGCAATGTTTGTTTTTTTTAACTATAATCAAACAATTTACATATACATGTATATGTAATCATAATATAACAAGTTTTATAATTTTTGTTAAAATCTTCAGTGTTAAATTTATAAAATGATAGAAAATAAAAAAAAATGAATTAAGCAAATAAATCGAAGAACTAACCGTGGAAATATTTAATGAAGGAAAAGTATTCTTTTCTTGGAATCCAAATTGAGGTTCTAAAGGAAAAAAAAAAGAATTTCCGTACTAGTTAAGACAATATTTTCCTTTGAGTGACTTTCATCTTATTGGTGGCTGCCATGAAAGTCACTCAAAGGAAAGAGAAATCTCATCACTGTTCATGTCATTCTAATAACATATCTACTGAGCAATATTATGCTTAAACATCATATTTCATGCTGAAAATGATACTAATAGCTGTTTATAATTTTTATTGTGTCTATTTGTTTTTGTTTGCAGAGCAAACACCTAAAAACACGAACCTATAAAATATTAGAAGGATCAGGTGTTATGGAAGACTACTGGTATTCATTCACGCCCGGTTAATATGATTTTATTTACTTAATTTAGTAAAGCATATGAAGATGGGATAAACCCTTACTTAATAATGAATAATATTTTGTATTGCGTCGAATCAGAAGTACTAGTATTTCACTCATGGTTCTTAAAACAGTTTAAGAGCAGTATAATGAAATACAATATAAGGAACAGTAATCACATTTTTAACTCCATTAAAACAATTCAGATAGAAAGTAAAGCAAACAAGGACCTCTAAAAATACCAGTTTTTGGATGAGGTGCCATGAATCCAAAACTTATTTCTTCAGCAGTAAAATATATTATACGTGGCGTACATATATGCCTCACCCCTTTGATTTATTCTCAAATATTCTTTAAGACACTTAAAGATATAAATGCCGTACTAGTGTTTTATTTTTAAAGAAATAAATATAAGTGGTGTCTCATTACTTTATATACTTTCTGCAAATAAGACAATTCCGTTCCATCACTTTTAAAAGTTATGAAATGTCATTTGATAAAAATTATTTTCTTTCCGAGTCGGATATTAAACCGCCTCTTATTGAAATATTTATGATCACGTGATCTCTCATGCTCACAGCAAACAATGGTCCAATCTCTTGAATGAGTCGAAAAGCATGATGGTCTACTACGTTTTTTTTTACTACAAACACGTACGTTAGGTAAATTTAGGATGCGATTTTAAATGACTGCTGGAAGGTCAATTTACTTAAGAAATAAACAACGTTATTCAGCGAACATGGCGTTATGAAAAGCAGTTGCTCTGCTGGCATATTCCATGATGCGCGCTAGCTAGAAGCAGTTGCGTCTAAACTCCTATGAACGCAGGTGATGACTACACGTTCATAGTGGGAGAGAGCAGTGAAAATGCAAATATAATTTTTTGAAACGTGTTTGAGAAAAATACGAAGAATAGGTACTAATTGAGAATTTCCAAGCAATGCTGTTATTTTTTGTTTTAAGTTGAATAAAGCAAAAGTCCATTACCTTTAAACCGTGCTTCTTTCTCGACTTCTTCATTTTTCAGCAATGGCAAGTGATCTTCAAGAACCTATACATTTAACGACAGATGATGCAATCTTTTGTCAATAATTTTAAAAATAATAACTTGGGTCATGTTTAAGTGAATAAAATAAAAATTTCACCGCGTAATTTTTAATTTTTTATTCAAAGTTGCACTAACATGGAATATGAAAAATATTTGTATAGAATACTAAGGATAGTTTCAGAAGGGTGTAATTGTGAACATCACAGAAGGTTTACAATTTCTTTATCTTCTCGAAATCTATAATTTGCATCATTTGCAATGAAATTAGGTAAAAAAAAAATATATACCAACTAGGCATCCATTTTTTTGTTTGTATCATTTCTTCTTAATTTAACCGTCTATGTTGAGAAATATGCTGATTTTTTTAAGCAAACGGAGAAGCAATTTTGCAGTTATAGTGGCACAAAAATCATATGCTAGAACAAATTTTATTTGTATTTATGAATTTAAAAATATATTTGATTTTAAAAATACATGTAAATAAACTAGTGGATTTATGTGAATGTTAGTTTAATTGATGTAAAGACTACCTGTTTATAAAAACGATTTGCTTTGTATTAAGTACTCTGTTTAATGTCATTATTAATACTAACCGGATGAGACCTCCATGATGATAACATTCTTCCATTGATAATTCCTGAAAAAAAAAACATTAGTTAACCCTTTAACTCCAAGAGATTTTGTGTTTTTTCTGCATTTATTTGAGCAAATATAATTAACCAACTTACTAGTTCACTGTATTCAAGACAAAAAAAAGAGAGTCATGAAAATGAAAGAAATAGATGAGACAAAACAACTTAAGTACTTGTACCACTAAATAGAAATCTTTTATCAGTTATTTGCCTTCACGTATCATCATACATACGTTCATTTCTGCCACTGAGTGGATAAGTCCGCGTTTCATTGTGATCATATTCTACAATGAACAAATAAAGATATAAAAGTTACTTACAAGGAAGGGTTTTATAATATATACTGTAAGTAGCTTTCATTATTTAGAGAATGTCTAATGAAGTCATACCTTGTTCTTTTCCTCGAAAATGAAATTTCTGCTTTCCATCCTGCGGAATGAATAAGCAATCTTTGTTTTTACTCTAATACTTGAAAGAACAAGTTTCACTTAGGGCCTGTTTTGGCCATATCTGTTCCGAAACGTCAGAACTGATCAGTTTTAGTTGAAAATATAACATGCTAAATTTCATTTAAACTCTGACTGTCTTACAATTAAAAATATGTAAACGTAGTTTTCTCACGAGTCCATAAATTATGACGTCATGAATTGTGTCATTTTCTTGAAATCTTTTTTAAAAAGTTTAAAATTGGCTAAATGTGTAAGCTGTTCATGTGTATCTTACATAGCCCCCAACCTCTGATCCAAAATGTTTAATTTTATTTTAATCCATCTTTTTTTTTTTTTTGGATCTCAGGCTGGAGTCGAATTATTATCATTAGTTGAAGATGCTCAAAATCACTCAATCACTCATTCTCTTCAAAATTCAAGAACATGACTGCTTCACAAAGCCTATTTTTCATTAATTGGACTCTAGATATTTTTAATAGGAAATGAAAGCACACAGTCCCTTCTGTTGATTTTTGAAACAGGACATTCGGACTTGATCATTGGAATATAGACAGGGTCATTTCATGGAGTCAGTGAACGTACCTCTTTGCCAGTTTAACCATAATTATAATATAAAAAGTTTAAACCTAATCATTTTGTTTATCACATTCATATATTGTTGATAAATTGTTTAAATTTGAACGTTTTTAAATGTTATATTTAAAAATCTTTGATAAAAAAACTAAATTTTTAGATTGATGTAAATGTTTATTTGATTTCTGTCAAGATGTGTCATGTGTATTAGGTATTAATACATTACTTATACTAACCGGTTGAAACCTCCATGGTTGTGAATTGCTTTCCTCGAAAATTCCTGATGAAAAAATAGTTATATACTATGCATTTATTAGACCATATATACAAGTTAACCTCTATATTTTTTTAAAGTATATACATGTGTAATCCCAAAATCCATTACTCAGGACAAAGAAAATCATAAAAACAAAAGAAAAAAACCAACTTATTCATGTTATGTACCACTTTATATAAA